CTACTGTGTTCCAACAGTACTTTTACTTACCTTTTTGTGCTACTGTGTTTCCAACAGTACTTGTACTTACCTTTATGTGCTACTGTGTTCCAACAGTACTTTTACTTACCTTTTTGTGCTACTGTGTTTCTAACAGTACTTGTACTTACCTTTATGTGCTACTGTGTTCCAACAGTACTTTTACTTACCTTTTTGTGCTACTGGGTTTCCAACAGTACGAGTACTTACCTGTATGTGCTACTGTGTTTCCAACAGTACCAGTACTTACCTTTATGTGTTACTGTGGTCTAACAGCACGAGTACTTACCTTTATGTGCTACTGTGTTCCAACAGTACTTGTACTTACTTTTATGTGCTACTGTGTTTTCAACAGTACGAGTACTTACCTTTTTGTGCTACTGTGTTTCCAACAGTACGAGTACTTACCTGTATGTGCTACTGTGTTTCCAACAGTATGAGTACTTACCCTTATGTGCTATTGTGTTTCCAACAGTATGAGTACTTACCCTTATGTGCTATTGTGTTTCCAACAAGAATTAAAACACCACAAACTATGATAACCGGGAAAGATCTCATCCTTGTTACTTGCTTAAGACCTAAAAAAAAAAGTTTTTATTTAAATAGATTTCGACACAAAATATTCTTAGTTGCACGTGTTCTATAATGCTGAACATGAAAATATTCGTCATAACTCTAAAACAAATTTTTCGAGTGAACGACTACATCTTATTAAGTGCAATAAGCAAACAGTTCGACATAAACATAAACATATATATTACTTGCTTTAAGGAAACATGCAAATGATTTGTGGCGACGGGTGCTACTTACTGGCTGCCTTCTCTTTAACCAATAGCGCAAAAGTAGAGATAGTTATACTTGAAACTAAGGAACCTCTGATCTAGCCAATCAGCATATGTGCATAAAAATGTGTTATTAAGGTTATTATTAACAAACAAACAAAAATAAAAACTTTTTGTTAAAACTTTTAAGCGCATTCGTGTTCCAAATGTTCTACAAGTATGGTTGCCAAGTGATAGTGTTTCAGTGCGAACTTAAAATGTTGAGGTGCTAAGGTAAGCACAATGCGTTTTATCATTTCCATCGGTCTTGGCCCGGCATGGCAGTGGTTAGGGCGCTCGACTCGCAATCTGAGGGTCGCGGGTTCGAATCCCCGTCCCACCAAACATGCTCGCCCTTTCAGCTGTAGGGGCGTTATAATGTGACGGTCAATCCCACTATTCATTGATAAAAGAGTAGCCCAAGAGTTGGCGGTGGGTGGTGCTGACTAGCTGCCTTCCCTCTAGTCTTACACTGCTAAATTAGGGACGGCTAGCGCAGATAGCCCTCGTGTAGCTTTGCAGAAGGTGAAGCAGAAAAAGCCTGTCAGCGTCTATTTAAAGATCATGATGGACAGTCTTTTGTCATCTTAGCCACAGATCATCCCATGAAGCAATAACATTCTGCTTAAGATTAGTGGAACATCCAAACTTCCCACAAGCAGCACAAGGTTGGAGCTATACAGGTGAAAGCAATGAACTACAAACAGACAGTGCCAACAACAGACTATTTGTGGCTACTTAAAATTCAGATTAGTTAGTCCACAGATGGATAGCAGAAGACAAAGCAACTGAATGGTAAGACCATCACCTAGGTGTATGTGCCAGGCCATACAGGGATAAAGCTGAATGAGAAACGCTGGAAAGCTCGCAAGAGAATCTCCTTTATCAAATCCTGCACAACTCTACTGGTGTAAGACCATCACCTAGGTGTATGTGCCAGGCCATACAGGGATAAAGCTGAATGAGAAACGCTGGAAAGCTCGCAAGAGAATCTCCTTTATCAAATCCTGCACAACTCTACTGGCAGGATATCGACAGACGCGGCAACTACTGAAGATCATCATTGATACTGAGAAGGAACGAGATTGCAAAAATGCAATGTACCATAAGAAACCGGAGGACGTTGATTCAATAAAACAATGTACAGTTCTAAGGCCACTGATAATATCACGAAAGGAATTATATTCTGCTTCCTGCGAGGCAGCCATAAGAGGTCAGCACTTGTCAATGCAACCCCTGGTATCTCTAGTTCTGAACTCAACAACTGAAATCATAGGATAAATGACTGTATTTAGAGACCTCTATAGTTGAGAAAGAATAACTAGTCAACAGAATTTTCCGCCTACACAGCTACACTTAACCTAAATGCAGGATCGAATGATAAGTTTATAACTGGCCCACAAATAAAATCGCTGCCCGTTCAGCAGCGTATAGGATGGGCTAGAACTTTGGATATTTTGCTCCACAGCCCACTAGGACGTGTCTGGCATTTGTTGACCTCCTCAACTGTGTCTAAGATGCTTAGTGATTAAAACTATTATTTGATAACGTGTCTTACAGCCTTTTCACAACGAACAAAACTGGGTTGTCGCTTGTTTCTGTGTTTAACTAGTTTCAAACATTTGTACGGCTCTCACAGTCTTTGTCTTGTGTTAGAAACTCTCATCCACCACCAACACATAACACTGTTTCAGTATGAATACAACATGAAACAAAGCAATCACTAGAATAGCAAGTTAGCACATAATCAAACCTCCAGCAAATCTATAATAGTACTGTCTATTACCTGTTGTATTTCCATGTAACTACTTCGCAGGTTTGGATGGATCTTCACCAAAATTTGTATGGAGGTTCATTAGGTCCATGGGAAGAAACATACAAATTTTTACTTTTGCATTTTGCATTTTTTTTACCAATACTTCTCCCCCTGTTGATGGATCTTCACCAGATTTGGCCTGAAGGTTTGTTGGGTCCATGCAGAAATTTGCGGTTTCACATTGAGTGTTTTACAGTTTTCGTGGGCGTTTTTTGCGTTTGTTTGCAATTATATATATAGGGGAAGCAGCTTTTCATGTCCTAAAATAACCTTTTATAAATCATGAATTTACATAACTTCCATGCATGGGAGTGGTACTCCAGCTAGTAATAAATAAACTCTCAAACTGCTCTTTCTGAGAGTAAGACGAACAGTGTCTTTTTGTTCCTATTTATATTTTTTGTGTTTATTGTTTTATTTTCAATTAAATTTAATAAAACTGCATATTTTTGAGCATATTTTTATACAGAAAGGAATAGAAAAAAATCAGTTATGATACTATGCTAAAAATGTTGTTCTAGTGTGTTAACTCACTGATGAACAATTATAATTTCTGAGATTATTTTACTTATTCAGTATGCTAATCTTTCGATACTCTTACATAGATGCATTAGTTCTATCTCGGCTATCTTTAAAAAAAAGGCCTCCCAGTGGCACAGCGGTATGTCTGCGGACTTACAACATTCGAAACCGGGTTTCGATACCCATGGTGGGCAGTACACAAGATAGCCTATTGTGTAGCTTTGTGTTTAACTTCAAACAACGATGATACT